CCTAGTCAGAGGTCCACCCCACCACCTAATGTACAAATGTACAGCAGAGCGATACCCACTTTCCCGCTTTTTTTCTTYTTAATTTTTAACATTTTTTTTGTCCGCAAAAATCAACACAAAATCAGTTTTCGACCAAATCAATTTTGGTTTTTGGCGTAACTCTAAAAATCAATTTATTTTGACAGAGTTTTGTCACATAATATTCTTATTTTTGAGTTTTTGCTTATTTAAATACTACTATCAAAAATAAAATAATTTTGATTAATTATTAGACTATAATTTTTTGTCTCTAATATGTTATTATGATATTATGATCATATTTGTGTTGGTTTTTATACTGTTAACTTTATTGGCATGGAATCACAATACAAAATTAAAATATTAAAATATTTAAAACCAAAAAATAATAAATATATTATAAATAAAATAATATAATATACCTATATATAGGTACATAAAATCCAAATACCATTGACTCACTGATCGCTGTATCTCAAAAACTACTCAATGTACGAACTTTAAATATGATATAGGGGTTCCTCTAATCAATAATTCATGCAATAGGAAAAGATTTTTCAACATTTTGATTTCAATGGGTTGAAATCGCAACAATACAATTTTACGAGCAAATTGTATATCTATATTTTATATAAATATTATTGTGTGTTTCTATAATAAATCGTATTGTAACTTTCAACTTGTGTTTAAGAGTACTTCTTATGTTATAACTATTTGTTTTTTCCATAATTTTCATCTAAAGGCGATGGCCTATGTTGTCRCAGGTTTAATCAATAAATWATAATAATAATAGCAGTCGGTTGATTGTCTGGTGCACGTGCTCCGGGGAAATGTAAATTGTTATTTATTAATGTTATCTTATCCATAAGTTATTTTACAATCATTATTTTTCATATTATTATTGCCGTTTGTTCGATTTAATCTCTGGAATTACTTAAACGATCTTAAAATATTTTTACCATCATAAAGCTACACTATATCCTATGGATTTATTAGGCTATAT